CAACATCACCAAAGGGGAGTCAGTCTGAACAGAGCACAAGTGGTAAAACAAAAGAGAAGATATTTTGAAGAACGCTCAAAACATTTGACTTCCATCATATTTGTTTTTTCTATGGAGGTCAAAAAGTGTTGAGCATTTCTCAGAATATCTACTTTTGTGATCAACAGAAGAAACTCTTAAAGGTTTGGAACCACTTAAAGGTTTGGAGAGTAAATAGTGAGTGAAGGTTCATTTTTGGATGAGCTGACCCTTTAATGCATGTTCCTCAGATCTGCAGGACGTCTGCGGTTTCTCCTGTGATGATCTGACCAGCATGTTTAAGGAGCTGAAGGGTCTGGGTGTAGTGGTGAAGCAGCTGTCCAATGATCTCCGGCAGGTGGTGAGGATCCAACCCACACTGTAAAAAAAGCACTTAAATTCCCCGTCAGATTGTATTGTGTATGGTAAAACTCCAGCAGCCACAGCTGCCATCAAGCCATAAGCAATGCAGTCAGATAGTTAAAGAAATGCCTATGTGTTTGGATAAATTACAGGATTTCGTTCATGTATACACCAGTGTTTTAATTGGGGCTGCACAATATACGGTTTCAGCATTGATATCGCCATGTGCAGATCTGCAACAGCCACATCGCAGGATCTGCTGAGCTGTGATTATAATGACATTTCAGAAGGGGAATTGTGCAGTCAAGATGAAGTTGAACCCTAATAGAGTTACAGATCTTCATCTGGACGGGTTTTTAAGAGCGTGACTAAGATATCAAGCAGATGTAAACCAAGAAATTCTAAAGTTTATAGATTTACACATTGTTTATGCAATGAAGACAGTACAGTGTTACTCTATTAATGTTGAATTTATGTTCTTAAATGCTTTTAGACTCCACAGAAAACCATAAAACACAAAGCAATGTTTTTTAAAAATCTTTCTTCTGTTGAATTGCTTGCAAATTGCTTATATTGGTTCATGTGATGTATGGATTATTTCCAAGTAGAGATATTTAGGCCACCTTTTGTGAAAATATATTAATATCACAATGTATATTACAGAAAAACTAAATGTCCCTGTAACCATTGACTTCAATAGTATTTGCCTTTCCTGCTGTGGAAGTCAATGGTTACAGGTTTTCAGCATTCTTCAGATCTTCTTGAGTGTTTAAATTTTTAACCATTCCAAGTTTAAATGTTAGAATGTTCTTAATGAATAGGGCATAGGGGGGATAAGTGAGAATAGAGCACAGCCAGGATCTATGCTTCTACATACAGCTCCAGAGGTGTAGCTGCAAGCATGGAAGTTTGTGAAGCACTTTGCGAATGTTCGTTGGGATGATGGAATTGGGAAACGCCAAATCAACAAACTATGTTTGTAATGACACAACTTGCGACATTTTTTGGCTAACAATGGTTTTGGGAAACCCACCCCAGATCAGTTCATTTTGGAAAATATTTTTCTTATTAAATAATCCAGTTTCTCCCAATTTACTCATGTAAAACTGCAAAGTTGAGTAATCTGATGGTATTTATTGAACATGCACTATTAAAAATTCGGTAACACTTTATAATGACTGCACACTATAAATCCTTTATTAAGCATTAGCAAATAGTGAATTCATTATCTAATAAGCATTAACTCTACATTAATAAGCGTTAGTTAGCAGTTTATAACTGCAGCTACAAATGCTCTATTCTTGACATACAAACATATTTAAAATGTGCTTAATAATTGTATTTTCATGCTTTGTTAATGACTTATTTTTCATTACTAAATTAAGTATCGCATTATTTACAAACCAGTTGTATTTAAGAGTAGTTGAAGGCTTTAAGGATCATTCAGAATGAGTTAGTAAATTATTGATAAATTATTGAAATCAACATTTAAATGTCTTATTGTTCAGGCATATATTAATGGTTACTATATATGTTAATAAATGCTTTATTAACTCAACTTCATGCAGTTTTGTGACCTAATCTAAAGTGAGGACTATTCATGCTTTATAAACCTCTTATAAATGACAAATAAAGGCTCAGTTAAATTCTAAACAGGAAAAACAACATTATTCATAACTATTCATTTAAAGATACACAAATGAAACTGTACTTCAAATAAAAAATAAATCTTTACAACCTGATCTAAAATAAAATCACTGTAGAGTTTAAACATCGCATCTTATTATATTGTTACATTATTATATTGTTGTTGTTGTTTTATCCAGTTTTGTTGTATTTTGACACTCCTGTTATTCAGCAATGTTTAAACTTTACAGTAATTTCACTTTTTAGAAAAGATTGCAAAGATTATTGTTCACTTGATTCTGAGCCTGTAATAGTCATTTATAAGGGATTTATAAAGCATGAATAGTCCTCACTTTAGATTAGGTCACAAAACTGCATGAAGTTGAATTAATAAAGCATTTATTAACATATTAGTTGACTATTAGTATATGCCTGAATAATAAGACATATAAATGTTGATTTCAATAGTTTATTAATCATTTACTAACTCATTCTGAATGATCCTAAAAACCCTCAACTACTCTTAAATACAACTGGTTTGTAAATAATGCAATACTTAATTTAGTAATGAAAAATAAATCATTAACTAAGTATGTAAATACAGTTATTAAGCACATTATATAGGTGCTTATAAGTCAAGAATAGAGCATTTGTAGCTGCAGTTATAAACTGTTTACTAACGTTTAATAATGTAGAGGTAATGCTTAACAGATAATGAATTAACTAGATGCTAATGCTTAATAAATGATTCATAGCGTGTAGTTATTTTAAAGTGTTACCGAAAATTCTTAAAAGGAGAGTTCACCCAAAAATGAAACGTTCTCATTATTTACTCTCTATTTATTTAGTTTCTTTCCTCCACTGAACACTGAAGAAGAGATTTTGAAAAATGTTAGAAACCATTGACTTCCATAGCAGGAAAAAAAATACAAGAGAAGTCAACGGTTACCGGTGTTCAACATTCTTCTAAAGATCTTTTTGTGTTGTAACAGAAACTCATGCACTGCAAAGCCCAGAAAGTTAAGGTAACTCAAACCGTTTGAGGAAACCGATTGCAACAAACCATTTAAGTTCAAAAGCTAATCATAATGAGTGCTGTGAACCTTAATCCCTTGAGTAAACGAAGCAATCTGAGCACAGCAAAACCCAATAAATGAAGAGAACTCAAACCAACTGAGTGCTGTGAACTCAATAAGTCAACTCAAACCATTTGAGGAAACCGATTGCTACAAACCATTTGAGTTAAAAAAAAAAAAGATCTATATGAGTACTGTGATCTTACTGCATTTAAGCTGAAGTAAGCTAAAGTAAACTCTTTACCTTCAACACTGAGTTTTCAGTTAATTTTGAGTTAACCACACTCATTTTATTTGATAAAGTTGACTGCAGGGTTTTACAATATCGCTTTAAAACAAGTGAATGATGACAGAATGTGGAGTTTTGTGTGAACTGCCCCTTTAAGCTGCTTTTAACACCGTCTACATAGTCAGGCATGTTGTAGAGATAGAGGAGTTGTGCTCCTCCACTCTGATGATCCAGACGTGTGTTCCTCATTCACTTCCCATTAAAGATCAAAGCATGTCCTGATGATTTTCCTCTGTGTTCTGTTTCCGTTCAGACGGCAGACAACAACTTAATCAAGACACAGATTAAAGTCCACGAAGGAGTGTGTCTGCACAACAGAATCGTGTATCAGGACCGAGACGAGTGGACGGTGGACAGCTGCACACACTGCACGTGCCAGGTACACACACAGCCTTTACTGTTCACTGCACAGACATGCCTTTCTTCATCAGTTTCTGTCCTGTTTCCAGTCCAAATATCCAAACATTCTTAAATCAAGAAGCTTTTCTAGACAAGCAAAACAAGTCTGTCAAAATAATATGCAAAATTAAGAGAGTGTTTCCCGTTAAAGCTAACGCAATACTCTGGCAGTGGGTTAGTCGAGTTTACTCAATTATCTGAAAAACTCACAGCATCCATGCGGGATAACAGAGCGCCATCTTAACTCTGTCTGTCCTACACTCGCCACTCTACAGTGTGTTTTCTGAGTTCTGAGGTGAGGGATGTTTTCATTTGCCATTCTTTGCCAGTCTTTTAAAATGGAAATGGAAAGCAGAATAAAGCCGGCGGATCAGCGCGCTGCTACTGAACACTTATGATTTGATTCACACTTATGATTAATTCTCGGGATATTGCGGCTTTTGCTGTCTGATGCAGGTGATGTTTAGTGGCTTTTGTCAACAAACTGTTGTTTGTGAATGCGCTGACGCTGTGATTTACATGATTTGAAGCAGATCTGTGTGTTGATGGTGAACAACCTGCCTAAAGCATTCACTCAGAGCCATCAGCTCAATTTGGCTAAAGTGGCGTTTAGCGGCTTTTACATCTGAACTGTATGTATATACTGAATATACATGTGTGTGTGTGTGTGTGTGTGTGTGTGTGTGTGTGTGTGTGTGTGTGTGTGTGTGTGTGTGTGTGTGTGTTTGTTTGTTGTTTGTTTGTTTGTGTTTGTTTATGTTTATGTATGTGTTTACACGTGTGCGTTTGTGTGTCTGTGTGTGTTTGTTGTTTGTTTGTTTGTTTGTTTGTGTTTGTTTATGTTTGTGTATGTGTTTACACGTGTGTGTGTGCGTTTGCGTGTCTGTGTGTGTGTTTGTGTGTGTGTGTTTATGTATGTGTTTATATGTGATATGTTTGTATATATGTGTGTGTGTGTGTTTATACATACATTCAAATGTGTTTGTATGAGTGTATGTTTGTGTGTGTTTTTGTTTAAATGTGTTTGTTTATTTTTGTGTATGTGTTTACATGTGTGTGTGTGTGTGTGCGCGCGTGTAACTACATGTTTGTGTGAGTGTAGGTTTGTGTAAGTGTTGGATTATGTTGGTCTATGTTTACATGTGTGTGTGTGTGTGCGCGTGCGTGCGTGCATGCGTGTGTGTG